ACTAGATATCACTGTACTGCTTATTTTCCAATATTTCTTTTTCTTGCCTAATTGCTGTGGTTAGTGACTTTTATTCCAACATAATAAAAATGGTGAGAGCAAGTACTCTTGTCTTATTCTTGGTTCCAAGTAAAAAGCTTTCAATCTTTTTCATACTCTTTCCAACAAATATAATGTTGGCTTTTCATATATGCCAAATAATCATATTGAATTCAGTCTTTTAGATGGTTTTAAAAGGAGTCTTTGGGCTTTGCCAAATGCTTTTTCTAGATCCATAGAAATGATCATATTGTTCTTTTACTATGATCTATTCATGTCAAAAACATGTTGAGTTATTTTCTAATGCTGGCCAAAACATCTTTGAATCCCTGGGATAAACCCTCTTCTGTCATGGTGTATGATTCTTTTAATATACTGTTGGAATGTGTTTGTTACCATTTTGTTTGATCAATCTAATTTTCATTTGTTACATAACTTGTGAGTTGTAATCTCATGTAATTTATTTGATACATAACATTTCAGGTAATCTCATGTAATTTTAAAATCATTTTATGGAATGATATTTTTGCAATTATACAATTCCCTTATTTAAAGTATACAACATATTTGTACATTCAGAGTTGTGAAATCATTACTGCACTTTAATTTTAGAACATTTTCAAAGTACCCTAAGTAAATACAATACTTACTAGCCATTACTCTCCCTATCTCCATACTTCCCTCCCATCTCAGCCTCTGGAAAACACTTATCTACATTTTGTCTATTTGCCTATTCTGGATATGGCATATAAATGGAATTGTATAATATGGGATCATTTGTGACTCTCATCTTTCATTTAACACTATGTTTTACATGTTCATACATTCTGTATCATTTCTTTTTATGAGAGAATACATGGATATACAACAATTTTCTAATCCATCATTTGATGGACATTTGGGTTATTTCCACATTTTGGTTATTAGTAATAAGGTTGCTATGAACATTTGGATACAAGTTTTTCTGCAAACATACATTTTTAAATTACCATGGGAATATACTTAAGGAGTAAACATTTGGTCAATGGTAACTTAATGTTAAACATTTGAGAAAATCCCAAATTGTTTATTCCACTAAAAGTCTACAAAGATTCCAATTTTTCCACCTTCTAGTCAACCTTTGTTATCTTGTTTTTGTTAGGCGCTATCAAGTTGATTCTGAACATAATTACTCTATGTTCAACAGAGAGATTCACTGCTTAGTCCTGCACCGTCCTTACATTTGTGCTATATTTTAAAATTATGTCTTTACATTAAAATTTGTTTTAAGATACAGCCATCTTAATTCCATGTCAACTAACAAGAACTGTGGGTATGAAGAGGTACCTCATTATGGATTTGATTTGCAGATTCCTAATAACTAATAATATTGAACATCTTTACATGTACTTACTAGACATTTGTATATTTTGTTGGTAAAATGTGTTCTTCAAATTTTTTATACTCTTCCCTTTCCTAGAGTTGTAAGAATTCTTTACATATACCCAATATAAATCCTCTGTCAGTTGTATAATTTTCAAATATTTTCCCTCCTATCTTGTGGTTGTTCAATGTAGTAATGCTCAAGCATCAGAACAATTGTGAGGATGGCACAGTACTGGATGGTGTTTCATTCTGTTGTGCATAAAGTCGCTATGGATATAAACTGACTCAATGGCACCTAACAACAACAATCATTTATAGCACATAATGCAATGTTTTAAAGCGTTCATTTATGCTACTCACCAACCACAGTATACAAATTATTGAAAATGTCTTACCCGCACTATTTCACAGTCAACATTTAATTCAGTTGCAACTGCTTCAATTTTCTCTCTACAAACAGAGCCCAAACTGGTCATGCCATTGTCCCAGTACTTCTTAAGAGTGGCTAAGTCTCGGTCACTGAACTGAGTACGATCTTGTAGCTGTAAAACAGAGTTTTTTTTAAAGTAAGATTATCAAAGGAAATAATGTTATATGAAGAATCATTAGGGTGAAATATGCCAGATTATATTCAACACATAATAGTAACTAAAGTCGTTTCATAGTACATTTCCCCCTGCACAACATCTCTATATTTTTATTTTTACATACTTTTATTGTGATATAATTAACATACCATACAATTCAATAATTCCTATTTCCGCCCACCTCCCCTTCCATGCCCCCCCCAACACCTTGATTTCCTTGTACAGAAAAAACATACAAAGACAAAGTCCAACTGAACAAAGACAAAACCCAACTGAGCAACAATGGCCAAATAAGACAGAGAAAAGCCACAATCTAAAGGAAAGTAGAAAACATTAAAAAATAAAAACCAGAATAAATGTACAAAAGTTCAAAAGGGAGATATATGTCAAAATATTACTTTCTGGTCTAACTGCAGGTACTAAAATCCATTTTACAATGTTCTTTGTATGATACAACATATAATGCCTTATATCAATAAATAGGACAACATACTTAAAACTCAAACAATACCAAACAATACACATAAATTTGTTATAAATCTATAATTTTGAAAAGTAACTAACTATCAGAGATTAAAGCAGCATTCTAATTCTTGGTTTAGTACCACAAGTTTACAAATGGATGGAATAAAATGTGTCTTTCTTTAAGAAATATATTAATTCCATTATATACTAAATGTGTTTTCTTTTTGTACACACAAAAACAAAGCAAACAAAAACATCCTGATATGTAACATTTTTCAATAAGTGAATCATAATATGTTATTCAATTTTATTATTGTTATTATTTTTAAATCAAAAGGAATAACTCTGGAATTATTTACAATGTAAAAATATCATTAGGTGCTCAATCTATATTGATTACACAATCTTGGTGGAGCTAAAATTCCTTAAACTATGGCACAAAATTGTAGTAATGTTCCAGGTACATTCATATAATTCATTACAAATGCCAGTACAAGTAAACCAAGTTCACGTGGAAGAAGCACTCCAACTTGTGCGATCCAAGGATTGTAAATAATAAAATCCAAATCTGAAGGAAGTAATGGTGAGATTAAAATGTGAAATTAAATGGTATCAGAGATTAAATTGCAGAAGTTTATGGATGACAGTGGAAGCCCAAAATCCATTTTCAGGGTCCACACAAGGATTAAGCCTCCTGTGACTCCCCTTGAACCATCGCTTAGGGATGTGAATAGCTTTGTTTATCAAATAGAGAGCATTGTAGAGTTCATTATGGCAGATGTAGTTATGTTAAAATGTAATATCATTGCGCAAAGTCATTTTAATGGCAATTTAACCATGCGGGGAGGGGGGCGGGTGAATGCTGTAAAATTGATGTGGTAACGATTGTACATTTTTCCTTGATATGATTAAACAACTGAGCTATTGCAAAAAAAATGAAAAAAGGGATATAATTTGATCTTCTTTTCGATACATTTTACAGCTGTTTTGGTTTTTTAAAAAAGTGAAGGGGAAATGCACATGGATGTGAACAGCCTTGCTGGAAAGTAGATTATTGCCGATGCGGTTGTGTTAAAATTTGATACTATTGTTTGATCTCTTTTTAAATTTGTCTAATTTTTAATAATTTATGTTTTCTTTTCAATTGAGGTTTTAATCGTGTTATTGTTGTTAATCCACACACACCCCGGCCGCCCTTTTTTTAAAACATGTTTTTCTGTATATGAAGTCCAGGGTAGATAAGTCAAGAGAGATAGTAACTGGACTGGTGATTCATTTGGGATATGGTGGGTGAGGTTGGTGAGGATGAATACAAGAATGATGAAGAGGTTTTAGACCTGATAGTGGTGATTATTGTATAATTCTTCTTGATGTGATTGAATATTGAATTGTATGAAATGTGATTTATATGCTAATAAAATTATTTTAAAATGCCAGTACAAATATTCCTATAATTTTCGATTGCACCAAATTCTCCAGTTCAAGTTAACCTATGTTACTATTAGAATGGAAGGAATAATAAACAAAACACTCATTCTATTAATTTATAATTTATTTAGAAGACACCAAAAGCTGATATGATTTTCTAGAATTGTGCTGTAGTCTCAGCATTAGCAATATTGACAGTGGCCTTTTATGACAGCACCTGTTAAGTATCAATTTATTCGGGAGATTTCTAAGAGTATGTTTTAATTTATAATAAAGTGAAAAAAAGATCAATTAACTTTAAAACTGTAATGTCTTTTTAGAAAAGGAAAAATGATGAACATTGAAAGAAGAGGAATTCTTCCCCAAAGATCCTTGAAGTTTAGGTCAGTTTTCTTTTTCTATTGGACCCTAAAGCCACTTTGACTATACAAGGTATCCTACAGCCTACACTTCTGACTCTTGTAGGAAGTATATTAGGGGGAGTTACTGATGATTTTATGAAAATAATAGCATTCTAATAGCTCTGGAAATCTTGGTGAAAGGAAAAGCATGACCAAAATGACTACATAATTGTGTTGACTTCATTTGATGTATGCTGTGATGCAATATACAGAAAATATCTGCTATTTTCATCTGCCTCAAGAATACCCCTGGTAACATCTTTGTTTTAGAATCCAAATTAGTTGAAAAAAAAAGAAATAAAATCAAACTAGGTGAGAAAAAACAACTCTGGTGAAATTGTCTGATGAGTATGTATCTCAATCAAATGTAGAACTAAATTATATATATGTATTAAAATAAAGCCTTTTGAAATGGGAAATATTAATTTTCAAACTAATTTCCTCAGCTTGTGGCCTTACTTTTCTGTGTTGATGTCAAGTTCAAGAAGGAAAAGAATGTTTTGTAACTGATTGTGGTAACAATTGTACAATACTGCTTGATGTGATTAAACTATGGAATGATATGATCTCTCTATTAAGTCCCAATAAAATGGTTTAAAAAATAATAACACAGTTTAATTGGCATATGAAACAATTTAATAGTTCAATCATATTATGAAGAGTTGGGGCTAAAATGAAATGCAAGCTCAAAATCTATTCATGCATCAATGGTTTATATAGGTCTCTGGTTCACTATAGAGACAGCTTTTTGATGTTATGTTAGACAATGTTGTCAATCAATCCCCTGGGGCATCACTTCCACTGCCATCAAGTCAATGCTGGCTCATAGTAACCCTGTGAATCTCCAAGCCTTCAATTCTTCACAGGAGTAGAAAGCTTTATCCTTGTGATTAACAGCCCAATTTGTAATTACTAAGATTGACAGTGTTATGAGTTTAGCCAATAGTATAGAATTTAGAATATTATCGAGAAAAGGAAATTATGAGTGTAGGTCAGCTATAAACCACAATACATGAACTGTTCACTTGTACAGATTAAACTCTTAAGGGACTGGACAATAGTTACACAAACAATGGTGGTTGGTGATAGAGCAAATCTTCCAGTAATCTTCATTCCCAACAGCAGAACCATGCTGTCATATATGACATAATGAAACAAGGAGGGCATTAAAATAGTAAGTACATTGTAGCTCCAGGTTACTGTTAACTGGGCATCCTCAAGGCACTAGATTCAAACCAAAGTCCAATGTCCTCCAGTTTTATGCCTTTGGGTTTGCAGTCATCTGCCTTGCGGGAAAGCCCAGTTCACTTAGTGGAGTTTTAACCTTGAGCCCTTCTGATGTGGCCTATGAAGGATGTTGTGTGCCTTGAAAGAAGAGTATAAAGTCCCAGTAGGCTACAGCACATGGACTGGGTCACCAAAGGCAGTATAGAAAATAGTCTCAATCTAAAAACAATTAGTACTTATGACATGGCCCTGCTTGATGCTCACTCTCATGAAGAGATCATTGAAAATATGGTACAATAGCAAAGTGTGGTGAAGAATCTGTATGGTGCCTGGCCATGAGAAAGAATAGTGTGTGAGATCTTAAAAGCTTGCCTTGAAATAAGCAGTCACCTAAGTGATATCACGACTAAGTCTACATAGAAGAATCACTCCAGCCTCTGTTATACAAGGATTGTAAATAATATACTTCAAATATAAAGGAAGGAAAGATATCAGAACTTAAATTGTGAACATCTGGTTTGCAGGAGGCTATGGATGA